CTCATTTCCTTCTTTTATATTGAGATATAATTCACATACCATACAATTCATCAATTTAAAGTGTACAATTTAATGGTTTATAGTATATTCAGAGTTGTGCAACCATCACCACAATCAATTTTAGAACATTTCATTAGCCCAAAAAGAAAGCCCCTACCTAGTAACCTATTAGCAGTCACTCCCCAACCTCCTCCACAATTTCCTGTAATATATATTATTTTTTCTTCCCAATTTAAGGTAGATATAATTCATGTGCACCTAACTGGATGTAGCCATTCTACATATTCTCCTTATTAACACCTTATATGCTAAAAAAAAAAAAAAAAAATCCCTTTTGAAGGAAAAAAAAAAAGGAAATTAAAAAAAAAAAATCAGGCATTTATCTCAATAATGAGTACTAATACTTGTTGGCTATACTCCTAATTATTTGAAGATCAACTGAAAAAAGTTTTTCTTTTTAGAAAAAGCATAATTCCTAAATATATCCTTTCAATTTTCTCACATAGGAAAAAGAAAAAGCAAACCTTTAATTCCACCATGGGGAAAAATACTCAGAAAAACCAACATTTTATTTTTCCAGTGGATTACAGTAGAAGTTTAAATGAACCCTGTGCGTTATGAATGAATATACTAGGGACATGTGAAACTGAATTTAAGTTCTTCAAAGATTCCTGATGCAACAGTTTTACACGTTTGAATTAAAGATAAAGTAGATTTTCAACAGTGAGGAGAAGGGTGAGTATAAAAGTGGAATGAAAAGCAGCAAAACCACCTCATTCCATGTCTAGACTAAAGGAAAGTCTATTTTTTTCTAGTTGTACAGCAACAAAACTTTGACCAGTTCAAAGCATACTAAACCCTGCTTTCTTTCCCCACTACCAGTTGACCATTAATTTAGTCCTCAATATTTACGAAAATAATTGATATAAAGATGGAACCAGCTGTTTTCCATATTGTTATTATGGAGAAAGTTTTAACTGTGGAACAATTAGATTTAACGAAGAAACCCCTTAGCATAAGATGTTATTCTATGCTAGAATGAATGACCACAGAAGGAATTTCCATGCTGGGAGATTTTGAGGTACAGACTAGTAACTCATCTATCTCAAATGAATTAGAGAAAGACACTGTGGACTGACTCCTAACTCTTTTGTTTCTACTTTATTAGAAAACTTAAAAATTACCTAAGCAATACAAATACAAATAAAGTAAAAGCTAATAATATTCCCTTACCTTCCCTAAGGCAGCCAATATTACAGTAATATACTTTACAAATTACTCCAATTTTTTTTCCATTTAAA